TCCGCCTCCCCCTCTCTCCCTATTTATTTCAGAACCCCCTCCCCCTCCCCCATTTCTGAAGAAGGGTCTAGGCCCGAACCGTCAGCCTCTCTGCTCCTATGATGCTGCTTGGCCTGCTGTGTTCATCCAGCCCTGCACCTTGTTATCTCAGATTTTCCAGCATCTGCAGTTCCTACCATCTCTGGTGTGCTGTTACCTGGCCTGACTGCCTTATGACCCCAGACCACAGCACTATCATTGACCCTTAATTGCACTCAGACCTAGGGCAATCATGGGCGAGCAGATAACGGCAAACCTTAATTGCCAGCCGAACCCATGCCACACAAACTCTGGAATTGTTTCGAAGGGCTGTGCATACGGAAGGAAGCCGGTTTCACGACGTGTTGGTGCTTGGTTAAACTTATTCAATCGCTGCGCTCCCTTCCCACGTTGTTGCTTGTTTGTTTGTTTGTTTATTTTTTTATCTCTCTCCCTCGCTCAGTGCCAGCCGCTCTGACCCTGGACCCGAAAACCGCCAACCCCTGGCTCGTCCTGACCGAGGACCTGACCGGTGTGAGGGCGGGGGACCGGCGGCGAGACGTTCTGGACCTGCCGCAGAGGTTCGACCGGTGCGCCTGTGTGCTGGGGTCGGAGGGATTCACATCGGGGAGGCACTACTGGGAGGTGCAGGTGGCAGACAAGACAGAGTGGGACCTGGGTGTGGCTAAAGAGTCCTGCGACAGGAAGGGGAGGATCAGACGGATGCCCGAGGACGGCTGCTGGAGACTGAGCCTCCGGGGCGGGGACGGATACGCGGCGTTCACCTCGCCGCCCACCAGCCTGAGCATCGCTCCCAAGCCCGGGAGGATCGGGGTGTACCTGGACTACGAGGGGGGGGCAAGTCTCCTTTTACAGTGCGGACAGCATGACCCACCTCCACACTTTCACCGAAACTTTCACCGAGAAAGTCTACCCCTACTTCTGCCCCTGTTTGAACGACGGGGGGAGGAATTCGGCGCCAATGAAAATCTGCGGGGTTAACCCCCACTCTCTGACATCACCTCGCCGGTCCCTAAACTCCAGCTCAGTGGACCCTTGAGGAGAGTGCACTGCCTTGCTTTAGTTCCGTTGTGTTATCGGCTTTACGGAAACGTGTTTCACGGCCCGTCCTGTGACGACTGCAGCAAGGGTTTGATTCCTTCATTTCGTGGCTGGGCCCAGCATTTATTGCAGCTGAGACAACAAGGTGCAGGGCTGGAACCTATGATGCTGCTTGGCCTGCTGTGTTCATCCAGCCCTGCACCTTGTTGTCTCGGATTCTCCAGCATCTGCAGTTCCTACTATCTCTGATTCAATTTATTGCAGCTGCCCTTGAGAGGGCAAGGGGGGTGGGGGGGGGGGGGGGGGCTGCTTTCTTGAATCGCTGCAGCCCTACGGGTTGAGAAAGGGCTTCCAGGATCTCGACCCAGCGACAATGATGCAGTTGCAAAGTCAGGACGGTGTGTGGGCTTGGTGCAGAACGTACCTTTTCACCTTAAGCAATAGGAGGTCAAGGATGCAGAAGGTCGCTGGCAGAGGGACCTTGTTGAGACGTGGTCATGCATCTTGTTGAGGGTACAAGCTGCTGCTATTAACGGTCCGGCGTAAGAGGGAGTGAATATCGATTTGGTGGGGGGGAGGAGGGGCATCGAACGGGCTGCTTCGTCCTGGATTGGTGTCAATGTTCTTGTGTGTTATTGCAGCTGGACCCATCCAGGCAAGCGGGGAGCATTCCATCACATTCCCGAGGCTTTGGGAAGTGGGGAAGTGATTGCCTTATCACAGAATGGACATGACTCGTCCAGTTCAGATTCTGGGTCAGTGGTAATCTCCAGGCTCCAACTCAACATTGGTTATGCCATCAAATGCCAAGGAGCGATGGTTGGTTTCTCTCTTGTTAGAGATGGTCGTTGCCTAATGCGTGTGAGGAGTGAAAGTTAGTTTCCTTTCAGGAGCCTAGGACGTGGTTGTTTCTGACAAAGTCCCCGTTCTCGCACTTACCCTATAGCAATCCTGAGAAGGTGCTGGCTGGTCTCTGCTTTAATACCTGGTGAATTTGTGGTGATGCCACTCCATCACCAACATCAGGAATTCCAGGATACCCCCACAGTGACAATGGAGGGCTGCTGACTCCTGTCTAACTGTGACGGCAAAGTGATCTTGGATGTTCTTACAAGGTTTCCTCTCTCGCGCTCTCTCTCTCTCTGCTCAGTGGTGGAAGTTAGTTATGGAATCTGGTGAAGGACAAGGAAGATCCCATGCTGTATCTGAGCACCAAACACCTCAGAGGGTAAATTGCCACCATCAGTTTCAATCATTGCCCACAGTACCTGCAGAAGCACAACTTCACCTTACCTTTCCATGTCCCTGAATGCTTAGTCATAGATTCTTACAGACCCTTCGGTCCAACCAGTCCATGCCGCCCACAATCCCAAACTAAACTAGTCCCACCTGCCTGTGCCTGGCCCATATCCCTCCAAACATTTCTTAATCGTGTACTTATCCAAATATCTTTTAAACGTTGTAACTGTACCTGCATCCACCACTTCCTCTGGAAGTTCATTCCACATGTAAACCACCCTCTGTGTAAAAAAAAAAATTGCCCCTCATGTCTTTTTTAAATCTTTCTCCTCTCACCTTATGCCCCCTAGTCTTGAAATTCACCACCCTAGGGCAAAGATACCTGTTATTCACCCTATCTATACCCCTCATGATTTTATAAACCTCTATAAGGTTACTGCTCAATGTCCTACGCCCAAGTGAAAGAAGTCCAGCCAATCCTGCCTCTCCCCATAACTCAAACCCTCCATTCCCATCGACATCATGGTAAATATTTTCTGAACCCTTTCCAGTTGAATAGTATTCTTCCTATACGGGGGTGACCAGAACTAGACAGAGTACTCCAGAAGAGGCCTCACCAACGTTCTGTACAACCTCAACATGACGTCCCAACTCCTCTACTCAAAGGCCTGAGCAATGAAGGCAAGCATGCTAAATGCCTTCTTAACCAGCCTGTGATGCAAACTTCAAAGAATTATGTACCTGAACCCCTAGGTTTCTCTGTTCTACGGTCAGCTGGAGTGTGCCACAGTACTCGGGAGTGAGTGGGGATGGTGCTGAGGGCATGCTGCTCTGTAGGGTCAGGATTTACAGAGCGCCATGACAGGGCCTGGAGTAGATAGCTTATTTTGGAAGTCTCATGTCAGGCAAATTGATAATGTGGCCTGCCCAGTGCTGCTAATCGCTTGCCTTAATGCTGGGGTGTCGGTTAGAGGGGAGGACACTGATGCTGGAGCGCCTGCCCTGCTTGAGGATTTGCAGCATTTTGCCAAGGAATCGTTGGTGATATTTCTCTAGGGATTAGAGACATTTGCTGCATTGTCCATGTCTCCAATGCACACGGAAGGACGTTTGACAGTATCACCTTGTAGACAAGGAACTTGATTCTGGTTCTGAGCTCTTCAAGCAACCTGTCCCTCAGCGAAAGGCTGAACTGGAACCGTGGAGGCAATATCAAATTTCACTGTTGATATCTGCCTTGGCAGAATGGAGACTCCCAACTTCCTGTCCCCTTTCCCAAATACTGATGGAGAAAGATTAAAGCAGGGAATCCTGCCTGCTGGATTGGAAAGCCATCACCATTACTTGGTCCCTAACCCAAACTTGCAACAAAAACAAATAAAACACCCACTTTCTTATCAATGGAACCCCTGAGCATTAGGCCATGACTGCAGTCCTTAGACCCAGGATCTGCTGGCCACTGATTGGCTGGCAGTAGCTTCCGGTGATCCACGACACCAGAGATAGGCTGACAAACTTACTTCTTACGAGCTGATGGGACAGTTTTTCTCTTGAGGTCCGGGTAGATTGAGAGTATGTGGTTTCTTTCATATGATGTGGCCATCCCTGACCGGGCCAACATTTATTACTATTTCCTTCATTGTATTTGGAAAGACAGTGGTGAGCTGCCTTCTGAAACCGCTGCAGACCATGTAAGTGCAGGAGGTGCCTCTTGGGAGAGAAGTTTTGACACTTTATGAACGGCGATATATTTCTAAGTCAGGATGGTGAGTGGCTTGGAGGGGAACTTGCCAGCATTGGTGTTCCCATGTCTCTGCCGCCCTTGTCTTTCTAGAAGATAAAGGGCATGGGTTTAGAAGGTGCTGTCAAAATCGGTGAGTTTGAGTGTGAGTTAATATGAAAGTCACACATCTTCTGGAATGTGCCTTTGTGAAGGAAATCTGGAGAGAGATGCAGTGGTTTTCATCAAGGGTCCTCCTGAGCAACTCCGTGACATGGGACTCTGTGCTCTACGGCCCGTTCCCCTAGGATGCACACCGAGACCAACAACAACTGCCCCTGGAGGACCATCAGCTCGGTGAAAGACGCTCTCTGGTCTGCCCGAAACCTGTTGGTTTTCCAGTGCAAGGAGTTGACCCCGACCGAGTGTTGCAGACTGGCACATTCCAAGGTCCAGGACTACGTGCTGAGGGACGCTCTAACGCTTGGGGCAGCTGCAGCCAAGGTGCTGTGGGGAAAGACCACCGTCTGAGGTCTTTTCTGTTCAGTTCTTAGACCCTTTTGATGCCTCAAATGTTATGTAAATGGTATCCTGTATGAGTAAGAAATGCCTTTGGCTTTTGTAACTGAAAGGAATGTCAGATTCAAGGTTTGTTTGTCTTGATATGCAGAACTGCTTCTGTCCATCTGTATGTACATTAAGATGATTTTTATGAATAAAGTATATTTTTACAATTTAAAAAAGAGGTGGTTCTCCCAGAATGAGGCTATCCCGTTGCACTCTGGGTGTGCTGACGCCTGCGATGTCCCCAAATGCGGGATACTCAACTGCAAAATTTGTGGGAGTGGGGGACTGCGTTCGCGCTCTCCCCTGGCTTACAATAAAGTTGTAGCTATCTGGCAGGTGGCGCTATTTTGCCAACACGCATACAACTAAATTTCATGACCAGGATTTCCTTCCTGTTCACTTAAATTCTACTTCACCAAACCCCCCGCCCCGCCCCCGGATACTCAGCGCACCTTTCATGTTCTTAAAAGCCCTTTGTCTCTAGGTGGCCCATATCCCTCTATATCTGTCAAGGTGCCTCTTAAACAGAGTCCCTACAGTGTGGAGAGAGATAGCAGGAACTGCAGATGCTGGAGAATCTGAGATAACAAGGCGTAGAGCTGGATGAACGCAGCAGGCCAAGCAGCATCAGAGGAGCAGGAAGGCTGACGTTTCGGGCCTAGACCCTTCTTCAGAAATGGGGGAGGGGAAGGGGATTCTGAAATAAATAGGGAGGGGGGGGAGGCGGATAGAAGATGGATAAAGGAGAGGATAGGTGGAGAGGCGACAGACAGGTCAAAGAGGCGGGGTTGGAGCCAGTAAAGGTGAGTGTAGTTGGGGAGTTAGGGAGGGGATAGGTCAGTCCAGGGAGGACGGACAGATCAAGGGGGCAGGATGAGGTTAGTAGGTAGGAGATGGGGGTGGGGCTTGAGGTGGGAGGAGGGGATAGGTGGGAGGAAGGACAGGTTAGGGAGGCGGGGACAAGCTGGGCTGGTTTTGGGATGCGGTTGGGGGAGGGAAGATTTTGAAGCTTGTGAAGTCCACATTGATACCATTGGGCTGCAGGGTTCCCAAGCGATGTGGAAGCAGGCCATTCAGTCTACACCAACCCTCTGAAGTTCATTCCACCCAGTCCCCATATCCCATGGATGATCCACCTAGACTGCACAGCTTTGGACTGTGGGGAGAAAACATGGAGAATATGCAAACTCCCCACAGACAGGTGCCTGATGGAACTGAACCCTCTTCCCTGCCACAATGAAGAAATGGTGCTGATCACTGAGCCGGCACGTCACTCCTAATCTTGCTATTGTATCTGCTTCTACCACCCCTTTTTGGTAATGCATTCCAGGCACTTATCACTCTCCGTGTCAAAAACTACCCTCTCACATCTCTTTTAAACTTACCCCCTTTTACCTTAAACCTCGGTCAAAGAATCATACAGCACAGAAACAGAACCTTCCATGATGACCAAGTTCCCCAAACTAAACTATAGTCCCCACTGCCTATGTGCGGCTACATCCCTCTAAACCTTTCCTATTCATGTACATGTCTTTTAAATGTTGTAACTGCACTTGCATCTACCACTTCCTCTGACAGTTCAATC